TACCTGTTCGGAAGTCGTAAAGCGTGGCTGCTATGGGTTTTTTCGGGGTGCTGATCACGAATATCATGGTAGTTTTGATCACAGATGATGTCTTCATGCATGTAGGCCAGGTCGGGTCAGGTCAGGTCAGGTCAACCAGTAAGGGTATTCGTAGTAAGTGGCAACCGCCTCTGACAGCTTCGTAACATGTTACGAAGGCACCAAAACTACTTCGTAAATGTTCATATGGTTGCTAATTTCGAATTCAGCTCCAAAAACTGGCCTAAAAACATGTAAAACTCGAAAAAGTGAACCGAGGTCATCAAAGGTCAATGACCTGACCTTTCGGTGACCTTGACACCCACCCTAATGCATGGGAGCAACATCATATCCCATGGTTGAACGCAACCACGAAAATATTGCAAACGCGCGGCTAATGCGAGCCGACATACGCCGAATCGCGATTCCGGCCAAACATGGTCTCGAAAAGTAGGTCACAGGTCAAAGGTCATTACGGTCAGGGTCATGAAAATTTCAGGGTAGGTGTAAAATTGATTAACGCGAGGGTACTGAAAGTTTCGTCGCGATCGGCCGCTTTTTACGCGAGTTATTCGCGAAAAACCGAGGGGGGTCCGTTCGACCCCCCCCCCTATACGGGCGAGGGTTAAGTTACTTAGCTTGAAAGAAACTTCAAGTTGTAATCTTATAATGAATCATAAAAAGCTCGTTTATTTACATTTTTCATTTCGGGCCACATTCATCAACGCGTGCCTCGTACGATTTCCTTCAGGAGTTGCTGACCGAGATAAAGCTCGCCACCCCACTGGTCATGACGGCCGCCCAGTTAGCCGAGGACGGGTTTCCGCGCCACGGGCCGCCGGCGTTCACGTGGCACGTGGCCGAGCGGCGGGACGCGCCCGGTCAGCTGGTCGGCATCTGTCTGCACTACGTGACGTACTCGGCGCACGTGGGCCGTACCGCGTACCTGGAGGATCTGTACGTGGTACCGGCGTGCCGCGGCCACCGGCTCGGCGCCCGGCTGATGGCCGCACTGGCAGACTGGGCCCGCAGCCACCGCTGCAGCCGCATCAACTTCACACTGCCAGACGGGAACGCGATGGTGAGGAGGTTCTACCGGCAGCTGGGAGCTGTGGACCTCACGGCTGACGGCTGGCACCTGCACCGGATCACGGGGGACGCCCTCAGTCGGCTCGGTGACCTGCACCAACCCGAGGGTGACGAGTTGTGACTAAGGTGGTTATAGGTAATAGGAATATTGTCACCGACCAGCCGTACGGTAACTATAGCGGAGAGCACGAGAGTCGGAACCTGCCGCCGCTTCCTGTTTGGCCACTGGCCAGTCTACGAACCGAGGGTACCCAACTTGTCGGGACCTCGCCACAACATTGCTCGTTCGGAACGAGCAATGTTACGGCGAGGATTGAACGATCATTGGGCACGTTTTAAGCTGTGTCACAAAGTGTCACCATTATACATACGCTGGTGTTAACTATTACCGGTACAATTGAGTATGACAATATCTCTTCGACGAAAGCTGAAGTCGAGATTATGCATGACGTTGAAAGACGGACATGGTTTCACGATACGGACGACATATAAAGAGGACCTCCGGTGTAGAGAATGAGACTGTGGAGGATAGGCGAGCACTCGTGCCGTCTTGACGGCGAGGTCACAATAGGCACCAGCGACGGGGCGGAGGAGCAGGGACACCATGGTTAGGTATGTTTTTCCTCAATGCACCGGCATAGGTGAATACTAAAAAGTCGCTTAGTCGGGTCTCGATGGAGCGGGGGTAGGCCGCTAGTGAGTGATTGCTAACAATGCTGTCAAGTCTGTGAAAAAATATGGTTCTCCTAATTTGAAATAGGTATGGTAGGTACTGCAGCGACCAATGGCCATGAAGTGAGCCAATCCCAGCTTATGCATTGCATGCATATGTTGCTCAGGTGTGACCGTCTACATGTGCAGACGGTCAGTAGGCCTAAAATACATTGCTCTAAGCCTCTAAATAATGTGTTCCCATTACCACGTCAGCCAAACGACGGCGAATTGCGCTGTAGAGCAAAGCATGCTTAAAGGGACCCTCCCACCTTAACATTAGATTTGAGTTGAGATAGCCAAAATGGGGTCCCTGGCTCACAATTCAGGTTTCGGCACTCACAACATCGAGAAATGCCTTAAATCGGAAATATTGAATTTCAAAATTGCAGCATTTTGATTCAGAGGGGCTAATGCTTAGGAATACCCGTCTGAATGTGTGACGTCAGCGCAAATATCTAACGATTTTTAAATGTTTGACTAAAACGTTTTGTAGCACGCGGTGGTATATGCTATTTGCGCGCAACATCTGCCGCAAACGCCGCACTTCTAAAACAAAGTCGCTAGAAACAGCGGAGATCCCAAAAAAGTAAACAAAAGTAAAAGTCCAATATCTTGAAAACCGGTGAATATTTTTCGGTGAAATTTGGTAGATATTCGTTTTCGCTCTTTCTGAACCGAGCGACATCACTTTCATGCCAATTCATAAACTTTTTTGAAGGTGGGAGGGTCCCTTTAAAACTTCGTACTAAACGCATGCACACGCACAGAGCACATTACCTTACAAAGTTACACACGCAGCAGCCGGCACGTTCACCTTCCCCGTTTATTTGGCCCCACTGCGCTGGTGTCATTGTTGGGTTTAAAACGCACCGGCTTACGCAGCATCCCTTTGCCGTTCGCTTGTGTTCTGCTCTACCTACATATATTCGATAAAACACATTCCATTCATCCATAAACCTACATCATGCACACCTAGGATGTTTAGTGGAGCAGCTCAAAAGTTGTGATCGAGAATAGGTCTGATCAAGATACGTACATACAATGTAGTTACATGCATAGGCTCTGTGGCAAAATGAAGTGATGCGATGACGCAACGACCAACACATTCAATTAAAGATAATCGCAGTAATCTGAAGTAGTCATACATCGCTAAGCAGCATGCATCATAAGAAGAGCTCGAACTGAAAGCAAAAGCGAAGCACGTCCATAAAACGTAAAACTGCCGATATTCGTTTACCAATGCCCGTTAGGTCACATATACACACTTGTTCGCACGACGAATGCACGGCACCGATCGTGCACTCGCTTATCTCGAAATTTCCCTCGGCCTCGGCCCCGCCTGACCTCAGCCCGCTGACCGAGGTGACCGGGCCGAGTCTGACTCAGGGCGCCAGGACGCAGAGCGGACGCAGCTCGCGCCCGGTCCTACGCCGACCGGCCGGGCGGGGCCGTGTTTGCCATCACCGTGTCCGGCCACAGGCACGAGCAGCGCCGCAGGAAGCCGCCGCCAAGGGCGCCCGCACACTCACTGGGCACACAATGCGCCCGCCTCGGCTCCGGCGCCGCGGCCGCCGCGTCCGGCCGGCGCTCCTTAAAATCGGCGGTGCCGGAGGAGGCGGTCACACCTGGCAGTTGTTCTTGGCAGTTCACAGCCATGTCGTGCCACGCTCCGACAGTGCGAGTGCTGCTGCTGCTCGTGGCGGCCGTCGCCGGCGCTCGGCTGGTGGCTGCCGATGCGGCCCCTGAGCAGAAGTCATCGGCCGTGGCGGCGGCACCACCCCTGACCGACCCTGACGCTGAGGGTATCGCCACAGACGGCGAGACCAGCGCGCGCTTCTTCTTCAAGAAGAACCGCAACCGCTACAACCGGCGGTACCCGAACTACGACTACAACTACTACTACGACTACAACAACTACGACTACAACAATTACGACTACAACTCGCAGTGCCAGTCGTGTGGCTACGGCGCGGTGGACTACACCACCGCCCGCAGCTGCTGCCAGCGGGGCTACCAGCGGTGCTGCTTCAACAACGGCTCCGAGAAGCCGGGCACCTGTCCATCACTCGTCTACGGCAGCGGCGTGGTGAGCAGCACCTACTGCCGTCAGGAGTGCTACCGCGACTCCGACTGCTACGGCGCGCAGAAGTGCTGCACGCAGGGCTGCTCGCGCACGTGCCGCTCGCCCAGCACTGGATACGAGAAGCCGGGCACCTGTCCGTACCCGGGTTCGGCGGGTGCCAGCTACCCCAGCTATCCGTACCACTCCGGCGGCAGCCGCGCCTACTGCCGCCGCGATTGCTATAGCGACCAGCAGTGTCCCGGCAGCCAGAAGTGCTGCGAGACCAACTGCTCGGCAACGTGTGTGCAGCCACAGCGCTACTATTGAACAGCACGTGGCACCGCTGGGGTAGCCCCCCTCGAGGCATAACAGCGCCCCCATCATTACACTGTCTTCAGCCGCCGTCCAGAGCGGTGGGAATCATTACGTAAATATGCAACATGCTTCATGTTAAATGTACCGCTCAACATTTATCCAAGTGTGAATGCCTGTCGTGTGCAAATAAACTTAGCATGCCGATGCTGACCAAGCTCATGCAAGCCTCAACTAATGAGTCTGTGATTAAATGACGCGAGACCGCATTATAGCGAGGAATGTTGTGTCTGCGCTGACGGCTGAACCCAGGCCGAGTGAAACAGTTCAATCAAGGTCAGGGCCTCGGGGGGGGGGGGGGGGGCTGCAAGACAGGAAGGGCGGATCAACCTTTTAACGCTCCACATTTCTCTGCACCGCTAGCAGGCTAGCACAAATCCTAGACCTTCGAATCAAATGTCAAAATCAGATTCGAGGTATTCCGACCACAAATGTGTCTGATACGGGACGTCGGGTCAAACTTGAGTAAATAACGTTGCCAATGCGGGTTTCTGAAAAAATATCAACGCCGAGCCAAATTATTAACTTTCAATGTTCACTCCCCTCTCACGAACGGCACACCGGCCTTGGGTAGTTCAGGTCAAACTTCAAATTAATTGCCGCAGGGAACCTGCAGGTTTTAAATTGCCTGCAAGATTCGTTATCGTAGCTTTTGATCGAAATCTCTTCCCGCCCTCAGTGTGTCTCTCCTCTCACAGCACGATGCACGGTCAGGGTAGGACCAACTCCCAACAAACAATAGACATCTATATTTGACGTATATTGAATGCAATGTTACAGAAATCCGAAAATTATGGCGGACGACGCCCGGTTACAAAACGTAACAGGATGACTAAATTCGGAGGAGGCGGCGTTATGCAGCTACGTAGCAGAACATAACAACCTTCCGGGATCGCAACGCAAGTCACTGATGACGAAACGCGACAGTCCAGTTAGAAGAGGCCAAACCCGTCGGCCTGCCACCGTCCAATAAATAGCTCCGGTCACTCGCCTGCCAGTCGGCGGCACTGTCCGCGGTCACAGGTCCCTGTCCGGAATCCCGGACTGCTGACAGACGGTATCCGGAATCCCGGACCGCTGCCAGACAGCTCCCGGACCCCCGGAACGCTGTCAGGCGAAGTCCGGACTCCTGGCCCGCGTCAGCCGGTATCCGGAATCACGATTCACGAACCACTGTCCGCGGTGCCCGGACTCCCAAACTGCCGTCAGACGATGCCTGAGCCATATCAGTCCGCGCCCAGTCTCCCGGACCCCTGTCAGTCCACTTTCCGGACTGCCGGACCGCGTCCCGGACTCCCATTACGCTAGCGAGTGGCGATGTGTCTGTGCCCCGGGGGGCGTGCGGACGGGCGGGGGCGCGCGCTATTCGACATCCATGTTGGCGTCCGCAGGCTTCTCGGCGGGTTTCTCCTCAGGCTTGTCAGCCGCCGGCGGCTCCTCCACCTTCGGCGGCTTGGGCTTGGGCTTGTTCAGGATCGGGTTCACCAGGTTCTCGAACGCCTGAAACACGAGCGGTACGACGGTTAAGTCCGATGTAAAAAGAGCAAGCACATACCTGGTCACCACACCGTTACCCGTGCCAAAAGACAGCCCTAGACATTCCAATATAGATGTCTTACCCGTAAAAGGGGCCAATGAGGAGTGATGCGGATAAATGATATCGGAAATAAAACTTTCTCCGCAAAATACTGCATATTATGTTCTCTCTATGAATCTACATACACGGAAAGTAGGTGCCGTTTGGGGCACGTGCTACGTACTAACCAGACGGCGCCACCGTCCATGCAACAGTCAACCGATAGAGGCTACAAGTCTGATCAGCTGCCTCTCAGGCAGATACTGAACAACCCGAGCTACTTTCTATTCGGGTCGAACGTATTGATTTCGCTGCGGAAGACCTACCCATCCTCAATCCGGAGCGAAAATCCGAACTTTGAAACTTGTGTTGAATAAATTATACCTAAAACACGTGGTGAGAAAATGAAGCGATACGATTGGTCCGGTTTTCTGCATGAGGCATATGCCGAGCACCCGGAGAAAGGCTGGACCGGCTGTGTCGGACAGGGCGGACGACTGAGCTAACGGCAGGGACGGCGGACGTACGTACCTGTTTCTCTGCCCAGATCTGCTGGGCGCTGGTGGGCGGGTCCTGCGTCTTGGCCAGGTTGCAGAGGGTGCCCAGGTTCTTGTCCAGCCACTGCCTCTTCTCAGTCAGGTGCTTCTCCACCTGCACAAGAAGGCAGAGAGCCGGCTAGTTGAGCAGACACCATACAGAGCACACGCGGAAAGTGACGAAGCTATCTCGGTACACACGTAACTAACGTATGTATCGTCTGTCAAATTCAACAGAGCATACGGACTTCAAAAACGTAAAGACTCGACGAAATAACATCAACAAAAAATAAATCATCTACGGACATTCATTTGGTCTACACTGATAACCGATAGAAATACACCATCAAAGCACACATTACTGATGCAGTAGCTCCGCAGATGCAGTTCCGCAGTCACTAATAAAACAGGTACCACCGTAGTCCATCGGCCGGGCGACCACGGTGGCCCTAGTCAAACAGGCTGTCTCAGGGTCGAGCGTGCCGTACCTTTTCGATCTCGGCGGTGTCCAGGTGGGCGTAGCGCTGGTCGTCGGCACGGTATGCGTTCACCGCCTTGTCACACTGCTGGATCGAGGCGCTCAGGGCCTCCAAAGCGCCGGGCCGCTCGCCAAACTCACGCAGACGGTTCTTGATCGGCTCGCCCAGTTTCTGTAGGTGGAGACGGCGCGGTTAGGAAAAACGATACGCGCACAAGACAGACTCAAGATGGACAAAGTGATATAATTCACACTCTAGTCGGACTTACATCACCACCCAGACGGATGAAAAATCAACACCTTACCACGCCTTCCGCATCCAAGTCTCTACCACCAACAACACAGCGCGACCGTTCACATCCCCTCGCCCTTCCCGATCGTCAGCGCCCCGGGTTCGACACCAGCGCCACCCTTCCACCACCACAGAACCCACCTTCAGGTCCGCCAGCCGGTCGATGTAGACATGTTTCAGGCACTCCTCTCCCTCCTCGTACAGCCAGTTCTCCGTCGTGTCCAGCTCGGCGTTGATGGAAGTCTTCACCTCGTCGCGCTCAAATTCGGCCAGGTCGTCCTGGAGTCGACTCCGCAGGTCGTACACGTACTCCTCCACGGCGTTCTTCGAGTCCTGTTCGGTACAGATAGCGGTTATATATCCCGGCCACACAGGGCAGGCGCCTGATCACAGCGATAGACCGTAACACAATGTGTCACGAATCACATTAGTTGAAAGGAAGGAATGACTGAACAGAAAAACTGATAGAGGAAGCAAGAATAATTGGTTTTTACATTTTCAAATAAATATCGACGTCAATGTTAAGAAATGTTCCTCTACATTTTAATTTAAAAATAACATCTCTTTTCAGAGCCAGACTTTTCAGCTGCAGTTGTCCTTAGCGGGATTGTACGAAAGCGATCAATATTGGCAACAAGCAATGATAAAACCCACTGCAGCCCGAGACGCCCGTCCACTCGCCTGTCGGTCCTTTTCCTGTTTGTCGGAGGCGATCATCTGGCCCTCCTTCTCGGTGAGGCTGCCGACCTCGCGCGGCGACATGCCGGGCACCACCGTCTCGACGGGCAGCTCCGTCTTCCGCACCTTCACCTTGTCCTTCTTCACGTCGCCCTGCTGCCGGGAAGGGCATCACGCGGTGGGTCAGCAGCGTCACAAGGCGCGTCAGACAACGACGGGTCGTCAAGCTTTTTTTAAGGGCACCGTTAAACATAAATTTTACAAACATAATTAGGTACGTTGGGTCAGGCAGTCTGCAAGCAGCACCACAAGCGCATGAGACATCAGCGGACGAAAAGTCAACCACATAACACCTAAAGGATGGCATAAGCCCTCCGAACACCAGCCGGTAACAACCATCCTAGCATTTGCAGCTCCGGATCAAGTCATAGGTAGTGAGCCGACAATGCCACCAACCCAATAACCCACCCAGCTGCTCGCCCACTCGAATTACTGTCACCCACACAGCCCTCACCTCCTTGCTGTCGGCGGGCGTCTCCGGTTTGGCGGCGTCTGTCTCCATGGCGGCGTCGCTCGGCGGAGACGTGTCCCGGTCACCGTCAGCAGTACCGTCCGCGGCCGGACCGCCCTGCTCGGCGGCCGGCGCCGCGGCCGGGTCCGTCTCCATCGGCGTGGTGGTAGCGTCCCCGGCGGGCGCGGGCGCCTCCTCCACCCGCTCCAGCAGCGTGGCAGACGCCACCGTGAACACGCCGTGGATGTTGATGCGCACCTTCACTTTGACCTTCTGTGACTCGCCGTCGGCGCCGGGCGTGACGTTCTGTACCGTGAACGATCCTGGCGGCGACGCAGCGGTCGTTATGGCAGGGACACACAATGCGATAGAGAAATGATACATGGCACCATGATGGACAGACTCATCATCCAGTAAAAAGAATCCTCAACAATGATGGTCCAATTCGGAGTAAAATGTTGAGATTTTCAGATAATATTAGACAGAAAACTAGCCGTACAGCAATGATGATGATGATGATGATGAATTGGGGTTTTTGGGCGCCCGGACTACAGCGGTAATCGGCGCCCATTCTAACGACATAACATATTTATTTATTGCCTTGTAATCTGAAGACCCTTTTCACCGATGACCCAACCACAACCAATCAAATACACACTAACACATGACCTATTGTACATGTGTTAGTGTACAAATATGTGACTGTAAAATGAGTCACAATATGCAATTGAATACAATACATCACAAGATCTGATCTTTCACGATCTCCATCATTTCATCCTTCGTAATCAAAGCTGAGATCTATCAGTCTCAATGAAGTAAGCACTATCAAATAAACCGTCAAAAGAACAACATAAAAGCGTTATCCCAAGACCCAAAAGCGTTTTGTTGTGACGGCTCCTAAAACACCACGACGCTGACTGACCGGTGTCGCTGCCAGCTACTCACCTATGAAGGGGTCGGGGTATGGAATGTCTCCACTGTATTTACAGGTTATCGTGAATGGCTCTACTTGATGAAACGTCAACATCTTAGAGAAGGGCACCTCATGATTCCTAGGGAAAATCTCCATGTCGCTGAAAACACACAGACAAGGTCTCAGGTCAGAGTTTGGATCAAATAAGTGAAGCATGCACGAGAAAGCATGATAAATAGCACAACTATATAAGCTACTTCGAACAATAGTAAACAAGCATTACCTATTAGCATTCATACCACACTAAAGCAGTCTATAACATATTTACATAGTCTGAGTTTCGTTTAGCTTTTACGATTTTTTTTTTATAAATTTAGTCCGAACCTTTTGATGGGAAGGATTCACAAGGACAGAGCCACCGCTAAGCGAAGCTTGTTGCGATGACCCTGCCCTCTACCCTCCGATCGCGCAATTCCGATTCTATGGCAGAATTTAGAGTCCAAAGTTTAACGTGCGCACAAAGCCGCGCACGGCCGGTCCCCTCGCTGACTTCGCCTGGCTACGGCCTGCCACCAACCGCAGCCATACCTGTCAGGAGGCCCATAAACATCGAGCGCCCGTCGCGCTTCGAACCCGGACTGTCATAACCGGGAACGCGTGCTCTCACCACGCGGAGTCCAACGCTCTAACCAACTGAGAACCGGGACCGGCACGATAATTGAACAATCCGCCACTGACCGCTAAGGCGATCATCATTTTTGTCTCATGGGATTGATTGGCAATTACTCGCATTCTCTTATGTAACACTGAAGCACCATACCTGGAAATGCATTCTGAAGAGTGATGCCATTTGAATGGATAGAAATCGATTGAAGTGGTGTGTTACTTTAGACATGGAATATTAAGGCTAAATAACACCACTCGTCCAAGCACCGAGCCGGTAACCATTCTACAGGAGGTAGGTAGCTGTGACAGTTGTGGGGAAAGGGGTACATATCTTCCCGGCGCAGGTCATCTTCACACTCAGCCGGTATCCCGGATCGTCCCCCAGCCCCCTCCCCCCACACACTCACCCGGTCTCCCAGAGAAGCCGGATCGGGTAGGGCTGCAGGTCGGTCACGGAGAACTCGCGCACTTTGAACGTGGGCGACAGCATGGCGCACTGGAGCGCGCAGCCGCGCGCCACCGCCTCGTCCTGGTTGAGTGTGGTGCTCGGACTGTGGCCGAACACCTGCTCGATGAGCCCCTTGATGGCCGGCACGCGACTGCCGCCGCCCACAATCTCCACGGCGTATATGTCGGAGGTGGCCAGGCCGGAGTTCTCCAGACAGCGTCGCAGCGCGGCGCCGACGGCCGTCAGCAGCGGCGCCGCCATCTCCTCGAAGGTGGCCCGCTCCATGTAGCCGGATACGTCCTTGTCCTCCATGAAGCATTCGATGTTGATCGGCAGCCGGGTCGAGTTGGCCGACATCTGTTTCTTCAGCTTGGCGCACTCGGTGGCGAGGCGGAGGCGGGCGCGCGCGTTCTTCTCGGCGTCGACGCGGTACTTTGTGCGGAACTCGGCCACAAAGTGGTCGGTGAGCAGCCGGTCGAACTCGGCACCGCCGGCCGTCGTGTCCCAGGAGGTGGAGAGGACCTGCCCAACAGCGTGCAGAACACCGTCAGCGGGGAAGGAGGGCATTCAAGACACGCTACGTCAGCTGGGCGTGGGTGGCGGCAGTGAAGACGTAGGCTATCGCAGCCATGAGTGCAAAGGGGTGAAAAAGCAAAGGCAAAGGGGTGCAAAGGTGCAAAGGGTAAGAGAGGTTTTACTTCTTTGACACATAAACTACCCTGTAAGCGATCATGGGTAAAATCAATTACAAAGATCAGCAAAACGCGACCACGATATCCCCAAAAGCAAGCATTAATCAGTTCCACCGTTGACTCAACCAGGACGCAAGATAAAATAAATAAAAGCAGATATGTTTAGTAAATTGATCTTCAATGAAAAACGAACCATCCATAAACAGACTGGGTTAAGGCAAGTACTGATTGAAGGTCGACAAGCCCTGCTTTTGATCTGCACCCTGCTGTCCTGGCGTCCTTGAAACCCGGGAGACCGTAACCGAAATACTGGCAAACTTATGAGCATAGCAGCAAACGAAATATAAGTAACCCCTCAGTGGGGTCGGTATAGCAGTTGAAAATATTAATTTATATCCCTTATCAAGAGGATTCCGATAACATTTAGCTTGTGTGCTGCATATCGTGTCCCCATGCAGAGCGCAGAGCCAGCAGAGCTAACGTTTGTTTGCCTTGTTTGTTGCTGGGCGTGCGCCAGCCAGCCGTCTGATAGTTTCAATACACGGGGCCCGGTGGTGAACCCAGCGGAAACACTGGGATCGTCCAGGTGCCAAACACGACCCAACTCAACACGGTGTCAGAGATGCAGAGCCGCAGCAACCACAGGGCCCGATACCAGACGTGCGGAACGGAAGTGATAATAATTATATCTTTAGTTGCCGGACAGCTCATTCAGTAAACATTCAATGTGAGGGAAAAAGTCCTTTGCCGGACACTGGTGAGCCATCCACCGACCATCCCATTTCAGGGATATCCCGGGGAGCAGCTGTGTATGCGCTGCGGTTGTGGACCTCCCTGACGTGGACCCCCGCGTCCACCCACCTTGAGTTTGCCCTTGTTGAAGGCGCAGATGGCCGCCTGGACGGCCGACTGGCCGCAGTCGACGAACACGACGTTACGAGGCGGCTCCTCGGCGGCGGGCAGGTCCTGCTTGTAGATACCGTACGCAAGCGCGGTGGCCGTGGTCTCGTTCATCAGTCGCAGCACGTTCAGGCCGGCCATCTGGGCGGCGTCCAGCAGAGCGCGCCGCTCGGCGTCCGTGAAGAAACAGGGCACCTGGAGGCAGAAAAGGGACGGGAGAGGTCACACACCGGACGGAGGCAGGAGCGCCACGAGGCGCACATCAGCACATCAGCGGTCCACGAAAAAATGCAAACACCGGATGCGTGTGTAACAAAGGGGCGGGTCATTAAAAAGAGGGCAGAGGTGCGGGACAAACACAGGGGATTCGTTGAACAAAATGACTTCGCAGTCGGCACGCCCCTAACCGCCAACAAACAAACAAGAACAAGCACTTGCGGGTCACAAGACGAAGGATAATTATAACTTGTGTCTCGGGACGCTCATATTTTTTAATTCATCGCTTATCGGTGCTCAAAGGAAGGTGGAATCTATGGAGCGTTACCAAGTTTGCAATGGATAAGAAGCGTTATAAGTTTGAGATGTCCCGTTGCCACTTCCTGGGCCTCATTGGGCCTCATTGGTTCAGCCGCGACCGAGTTGAGGGGGACTCCCGTCTCCCACGTCACATACCGGATGAAGGGGGACAAGAGGGGGACGGGGGAGGGGGCAGGAGGCCACGATAGGCGATAGGACAGAGTGGATGCACATTGCACAATGTACATTGCACCCACGTATCATCGTAAGCAATACGGCATACAGTAAGTAGCATGAACGTTAGTCAAAATCAACAACGCCCGGTCGCCCTAGGCATGAAAGGCCACTCGATAAATGTTTGGAAAATTAAAACACACCAAACAACTGCGGTTGCTTTAACTTTGTCTAAGCCTGCTCCATTGTTTCTTATCTTTTATGCAAGAAATATGGCGCACTTGTTTTACTTTTCACTTAATCATGTGTGCCGATCTATTCGCGGTCGAATAGTTTTATGAGTAGCGACGCATGTGGAAAAACGGAACTATTCCGTGAGATAGTGGGTTAGGTTAGGCTAGATTAGGTCCTATCAGAAGCGAGGGGCAGCGCAGTTGCGGCGGAACACCTTCAATTAGGGGGGGGGGGGGCACTGCCGACGGGGCACTGCCGACTTTTGGTTCCATTCTTTCCATGCAACGCCCATAGGGCTAATGTTAAAATGCCAAAATCAAAGGGGGCATGGTGCCCCGGTGCCCTCCCCGTTCCGCCGCCTTTGGGGCAGCGTGCATCGTGCAGTACTAGCGCCGAGTGATTGTATAGCTTGCCGGCACCCTACCATCAGCCAGGACGCTACATATCAGGACAGTCTACAATCGCCACAGCGAGTATGTCCGTCTGGTAGTCGGTGTTCCTCAATACGAGCCACCGGGCTGGAGCGTTATCGCCCTTACACTAACCACCAAGGGTTCTTGCCTGCCTGACCCATGGTCAGTGATCACCCAACCGGTGGTGGGCACTTACGTGACGGATAAAAGGGTTGGGGAATTCAAGGCCTTCGGGGCTCATGGCTCATGGAGCAAAGATAACTACTATGCATTTCAGACCCCATGAGACCCTACTTTTCGGCGATAATTTCTTCAATTTTTGTCCAATTAGCTTGAAATTTTGGCAAACGATATTTCAGCTCAAGCGCCAATTTTTGTCAATATGGTCTCTTAACAAAATATCAAAATTTAGAGCACTTGTCGTTGGCTCGTAATGTTAATCAGTTTTTGCACCCGGATAGAGGCTCGCTCGCTACCGCACCGGATTGGATAGGAGCGCTGGCCAATCACGTTGCGCCGGGCCCAACTAAACTCCGCCCACTGGCCGTGACCGGGATGGGTCTATGCGGTCTATGCCGCTTCAGTCGGTGTCAGCACCGCGGAGAGGTCGGAGCGGGACCACATACTGGAGACAAGTGGAAGCTGGCAAAGTTGTTTCGGGACGAAAGCCAAAAAAATTATCTGTTTGAGGGCATTTGGTATCCTCTTCACCTTATTTTGGTATTTAAACATCGAACCAGCTCAGAATATTCAGAATGATCAAAATCAAGGTAGGATCTATTGGAACTGAACCGGCCCTATGAAGGAAAGAGGGATAGACTCTTGGACTCTGAACATTTATTTAAGCCGGAGTTGCACCTATCTCATCGTCAGGTTGGGTCAGGTCACTACCCGATTACCTATAAGATCATGTGTAAGCCTGTGCTTAACCCAAAAATATTGATATATTTGGCAGTGCCAATAAATGTTTCTGAGGAAGGCGCAGAAAGCAACAAAATAGGATGAAGAGTCTCGGGCACGGCCGATTGCCTGGGGCATCGCTCCAGCGAAACGACCGTATTCGTGATTCGTGAAGCGGTGCGGGGCGCCGGGTGGGGCAGAAGCGTAATGTGTCGTATGGTAGAAATGGCCTTTATCGCGGTATCATGTGTGTGTTATATTGTTAAGACGTGCACAAAAAGAAATAGCAATGTGGCAGGCGGACATTGGGCACTACACGAGAACGATCATCAATAAACTCGTATCTTTTTTGTAAAACTTAAGTAACAGTAGGTATGTCCTCAATGGTGAGGAAACTATCTCTAGGCTTTTACTTTTCATGTTTGCATTTCAACACACAAGCTCTGGGGGCAAAGTTAGTCTGGCGACCTCCTCAACCTAAGTCGATGATCAAATGGATTAGTCCTGAAGGTGTTCAATGCTTAGTTGCACCGGGATGATATAAATCGATCACGCCGGCATACATGCCTAATCAAATTTCATATATCAAACACATAAATTGCATCATGTTAATGGTGATTCTGTTTTGCAATTTTGACGTAGTCTGACGCGATAGGTACATAATCTTACGCAATCATTTGAAATCAACAGCGTCTTTTATGCGCGTTTTTCACAAGCCCCGAATCTTGTGTGGAAATATAATTTTTTTTGTGACTGAACAAGGTGTACGTACATTTGTGATAGATAAAATTAGTCGAGGGCTTCAGCTGGTGCGTTACTTATGCGCGCTATTTAGCTCATTCGATGAAATTACGGCTGCAACGCCAACTGCACGGCAGCTACGGTCCATGCGAGCCGCCCCGGTGCGACAGCTACTGCCCCGCCCGCTCCACGCAGTCGACTGACCGGCCAAGGTCACTACCCCGTCCGCCGGGAGGGCGGAGCTTAATGGTCACGTGTTTGTGACGTCACACCTACGCACGGATAGCCTCTACTCCACTGACGGATTTACGGAGCCGATTTTAACATTACGAGGCAACGAAAAGTACCCTAAAATTTGATATTTTGTTAAGAGACCATACTGGCGAAAATTGGCGCTTGAGCTGAAATGTGCATTGTGAAAATTTGAAGCAAACTGGACAAATATTGAACAAATTATCGCCAAAAATTAGGGTCTCATAGAGTCTGAAATGCATAGGGTAACTACCTAGCATAACAATGCTGGCCAAAAGGCAGTAACAATAAGAAGCCGAGGACTTGATTTTAGTTATCTTCATGCTTACTGATTTCATGCTTACTTACGCTGTGCCGATTGTGACACAGTTTGTTGGCCGTGCTAAGTTTGTCTTATCGGTGATTTCATCATCACATTTCATTCAGTCACTGCAGTCATAACACGGAATACTGCATCCGCCATCGTGATGCCAACGCCTCCAATGACTGTGGGCGTACTCCAAGCCGGAGACGGAGACGGTGTTTGTCTGTGAGGTCCAACTCTGCACCTGCAGCCCCGTCCTCCCACGGAGCGCAGGGACCGGCGCAACAACTCAGCGGGTGCGAGACGCGGCGGTGAGCCCGGGTGGAGCGGATAAGGTGCGTGAATCGAGTGGGCAGCCGTGGGACGGGGTAGTGCGTGCAAAAAGTGGGAACTAACTAGACACGGGCGGCAGCGGGGTTAACAGGTGCGACAGGCCCCACTATATGAGCGAGCGGGGGAGTGACACGTTACATGACAGCACGGGTGGGCAGTATGACGGTAATTTACACAATCCGCACAGAGCAAAAACGGCACATAGGCGTCTCAAACAGGACCTAGGCTGTAACAAGCAATCGTTCGAACCAGTTCGTTTAAGTTGGGACTCCTTTAACCCGCGCCCCAGTGGCGGTCTCGGCCAACTTCGCCCTAGTGAGGGGGGCATATGTTACCACCCACCTCTAACTCAAAAACTAAGAGGGCTAGAAAGACGCAGTAAAAAGCAGTCGATAGCTCTCAATACGTACGTTTGAAAGTACAGGGTGTCCCAAAAGTAAGGTCATCATTTGTTTTGGCCACACTGCCAAAAATACGCGATGGATAGATATAAATAGGACATCATATGAAAGAGCATTTTATAAAATTTTATTCTGACATACATATGAGTCAATACATTGGCTCGTAGCCCCACATTTGCTGCTTTTCTACATGGCTACCATTTTGGGCCGCGTGCATGAATAGACTACGTTTGACTTCCTCCACTATTCTGGAGCGATTCTCTGGTGAGATGCCGCCTATGTTTGCTCGAAGGGATCATCCTTTAGTTCTTCCCGGCTCGTTGGGTTGTCCTAAAAGACAATCTTTCTGTTGTGTATCCAGAGAATAAAAATATGAAGGTGTAACGTCAGGTGACCGCGGAGGCCATTCAATGGCGTTGCCCTGACTGAAAATTACGGGATCTCACATCCACTCTCGGAGACAATGCATGATCTTCAGGACGGTGCAAGCATAGTCTCCATCCTGCTGAAACCACTGCTGGCTGATGGTGTCGGCACAGCTGCGTTGCGACGAGCGGAAGAACCAGTGGGAGGACTCTCGGCCACCTCTCTTGATTTATTGTCACCCGATTCCCGCTGTCGTCCTCAGGACCTCGAAGCACAGGTGGCTAAGTATACATGCCCTGTGCGTACATTATAACTTTTTTTCTGACGTTTTACCGGTTGAGGCGAAACTATGCATGAGTTCAGAGATAGGGCGAGCTGATAGGGTCTGCTTAGGGCCGAAAACTGGGCGGTATTTACCCTTTGTTTTAATGACGGACCCTCTCTAAGAGTTGAATTTCGACCTTCTCAGTTTTATGCCTACTGCTCGGTGTAGTTATGATCAAAAATGGTTTAAGCATGCAAGAAAATAATTTTATGGATGTACCTTGCACGTGTTAAAATTGGAAGTCATTCGGATTCTTACTTCTCGAGATATTTAAGTTTTAAATCATGACCTTACTTTTGGGACACCCGGTATTTGGTCATTTTTCACCTTAGAGCAATATTGGGGTCACCAGAGGTCATCAAAGGTCAAAATTTGCCAATTGTCATAATATTTTTCAGAAAACATGCCGCTATCTCAGGAACTATGGTAGCTAGAAAAACGCATGGAAAAGCAATCGATAGCTTTTGAACTCTTCTTTTGAAAAGGTCATTATCAATATTGTCCTCAGGTCAACGGTTTAGCCTCCAGAGGGCAAAAACTCCAAAAATAGCTGTTTTTACGAAAAGTGTTTTTCGACAATAACTTTCGACTACAAAAAGCCACGACATTTCTATTGCCAGAATCGTGTTCCCCTCACCGAGACGCGTCGAATGAACTATAATTTGACCTTGAAAGGTCAACTTAAAAATTTGACCTCAGGTCAAGGTCATGACCTGACCGGAAAAGGTCATGTTGCATATCAGTCGATGCGTCTCAACAAGACAAACACAATGAGACCATCCCCAGCGTTCTATCTCTTTCCAATCGCGAGTTATTGGCAAAAAACTGTTTGTAGCCTCAAATGACCTCGGATGACCTTTCTAGAGGCTATCAGCAAAAATGACACCTTGGTCATCACGAGTGGACTAAATCATTGTGATTCTGAAATATTTGGACTTTTCCTATGCGTACACACGGATCTAGAGGCATTTTCATTTTTCTCCATTGACTTATAATGGAAAGGTCATGCCACTGACCTGACCTTAGGTCACGGATATAAAAAAATCCGAGATATACAAATTGTAGGCTCTTATAACAGCATGCAATCCACCAAGTTTAAAACCTTTCTGACAAACACTGCAGGCTGGACATGATTGCAAACTTTTTTTAAGGCTTGGTCACTTAACTTGACCTGGTGACCTGACCTGACATGACCTGGGGACAAAAATTTCACACATTGTCCAAAATTGATGTACTAAAAGCTACCCCAAGCGGCGCGGCGCTACGCGCCGCGGTTTTTTATTCACACGCGAAAAACGCGACAGGGTGGTAACATATGCCCCCCCCCACTGGGGCGAAGGTTAACCCGCGCACCGACGGGGGGGGGCGGATATCCGCCCCCCCCTGAGGTTTTTCGCGAATAGCGGGAAAACCGCGGCGCATAGCGCCGCGAAATTTGGTATGACTATTCCCTTATCAATTTTACACATGGTGTGCAAGTTTGAACCTCCTACCTTTCAAGGTCAGGTCACCAGGTCACTTTGAATGACCCAACCTCAAGTCACTTTTTTGCAACTTTGTCACCGTGCCAGAGCTACAGTAGATGTCGGAGGCCTTTGAAAGTCGCAGGATGTTATTAGGTCATTAGTAGCTACAATTTGTATATCTCGGAATTTTGATATCGGTGACCTAAGGTCAGGTCAATTTCGCGACCTCCCCATTATAAGTCAATGGGGGAAAAATCAACTCCCTGTTTTTACCACTAAAACGGGTCGGAATGGCCCCATATACCATACATGACTTCGTATACGATCAACCTTCACTACCTTGAGGTCTGTTTTGCTGTTGGGCAGCTGTGAGGTCATGTGACGTCATCAAAGGTCACCAAAGGTTTTTGGCCAATAACTCCGTACAGGAACAAGATACAGACGCGTGGATGGTCTCATTGTGTTCAGCTCGTCAAGACGCATCGAATGATATACATGATGACCTCGAGGTCACGTGACCTGAGGTCAACCTTTGACCTTGACCTTTCGAGGTCAACATATATATCATTCGATGCGGATTGACGAGAGGATCACGATGATGCCCTTAGTTTTTTCCTATCTTGTCTAATTCGAAAGTTATTCGAGAAAAACTCTCTCCATATTCAGCGCCGCCATTTTGACTTTTTCGACCCCTGTGACGTCATCTTTGACCTGACCTGAAAATGACCTTAGTAAAAATTGTAGATCTTGACCGTGCGTATCCGATGCCGTTTACCGCTTGTCGCTATCTTGCTTCGTTCTCGAGATCTCAGGGGGGGGCGGTCATCCGCCCCCCCCCCGTCGGTACTAAGTTGGCGCAGACCCCCGTCGGTGCGCGGGTTAATTACAATTTACGATGACAAAACTAATCAAAATCACTCTTAATAAAACAGTAAAAATGAATTAGCGAATTATCAAACATGCAACACTCACCGAGATGACGACATCGACGACTTTGATTTTGAGCGCCGCCTCTGCCGTCTCCTTGAGTTTGGTGAAGAGCATGGCGGTGAGCTGCTCGGGCCGGAAGACTGCGTCCTCACCCATGTACTGCACCTTGACCCCCACCCCGCCGTCCTCCGTTTCCACAAACGTGTTGGGCAGGTCGGCGAGCACCCGAGTCACGTGCGGGTCGCGGTACTTGCGGCCCATCAGACGCTTGAAGTTGACCACTGTATTCTTCAGATTGGTAACTTGCTGATTTTTGGCGGCGACGCCCAGCAGACGGTTCTTGGGACCGAACGCCACGCATGACCTGCCGAGAACACCGGTAGTTACGGGTCAGTTGACAATCAGTACCTATGTGAAGCATACATTTGAAGGATCAGAAAAAAAAATACCAGGGAGCCCAATTGATCTTGGCTACCGCCTCCTCAGGCTGAGGTCGTGTTACTAGAGCAAAGAGTCATTAAAACAACTCTACACAAATACCTGTAGGAATACAGCTAAATTATGAAATCCATTTAAAGGGACTATCCTTTACATTAGGTTTGAGTTGAGATAGCCAAGTTTGCGGCGAGGTCCAGAAACCACTATCTATCTTGGTTGCAACCCCCGCGGCCTCGTGGTGTTGAAGAAATTCGTTCCCTTCATTTGAAAATGAGCCCTGCGCAAGGCCCAATCTCTTAACCATTAACGGTAATCTGATGACGTCATTTGCCTTTTGAACGCCTGTTCAAGTGAAGTATCACTTGATTTACGAATAAGCCAATCAGAGACACTTTTGTTATTGTATGAGGCATGAGCCGAATCATATTTGAGAGCAAATACCTATATTTGCTGCCAAATTTCCCCCACACTGACACGAAGTAAATCCTTCATTACGTCACAGATCCGATCTAAATGACGTCACGATGAAATATAAAAGTCGCAATATCTCAAAAAGTATTCGATGAAAACGCGTAAAAACTTGCAGAATTCGTCACAATATCATGAGTAACATTTCCGAATCCTAAACGGGACTTTTTTGAAGGTGGGATAGTCCCTTTAATTGAGTTTCATTCTCAGCGCCGAATTCTACAGACAATGGACTTCACCATCCCGCCTCATTCCCGAGAATCGATATGCTCGCTGGTGTGTTTATGAATGTGTGAGTGGAGCGAGGGGACGTCCAATGGACTCGTATTGTAAACAATAGGGGCCATCTACCAAGCGTCATTCACCCGTGGCCATCCGGGGTTAGCACGCGTCACGGGGACCCAACCGGACAAACTACGCGATAACGGACTGGGGAGGGGGGGGGGGGCGCACGGTGGGACATTTTTTTCCGGTGCATTAAGATCATTTTTGATGAACGGATCAAATGAGCAATGAGTCAATGAAGCCGTCATGTGTAGCTCGAGATTTGGAAATTTGCGTAAATTCCTCGCCATTGTTTCGCAGTCAGACGATAACATCAACGATTGCTGAAGAGTGTAGGCTGAATCTCCGCGAAATGTGAAATACAACGCTACAAAATGTATGTTTCTTTCCGTGACCTTGTCATAATCATTGACTATTTTTGTCCCTAAAGGTAAGGTAGCCAATGCCATTAGGAACTCAGCCCATCTGTTTATCCAATCGATTATTACCGTAACGATACATATGGGATGCCACGCTTATGACGTCTATCACCCCCCCCCCCCCCAGCGGCGCGACTCTTCATCCACCGTGTATGTTGGAATTAGAGATGCCCTTTTTGAACCCGCAAACCCGCTTTCTGCGGGTTTTCAAAACCCGCAGGGTTTTTGGCGGATTCGAGAAGCAAAACTTGTCGTGTGGCGGGTATTTGGCGGTCAGACTTTAGAACCTATTTTTTTTTTTTTAGATGCAAAACACAATGCCAAGTGCATTTGCTCAGGTTAACAATACAATATTCATCAAAACAACTTTTAAAACAGAACCAAATACAAAAATATATCAAGGAAGCACATTTCAAATGCAAAACTGAAAACACCCAGCTATAGCATCCACAGTCTAGCAATGACCAAACCAGGGTACAAACAACAAACTACAAAGCATAAATAAATGCTGATGAAAGCATTCCATAAAACATAAAAGAACCTGAAAGCAAACTTATAGGAAGCTGAACTGAAGTCTATGTGCAGTGTGCACTAGATATACATTATGGAAGAACCCAGACTAAAATGAGATGCTGATGTTGAAAATCAGAGCAAATGCCACATGTTACTTTATTTGCGTCTGGTCGGCATAAAAAGAGCTAAACAAAATTTGATGCAAATTCATTGATTACCTAATTCCTACTCTATGTTCTGTCCCACCCTATATTACGAAAATAACACACCAATTACCTCAATTACCCTTACAAAAAATCAAAATATTGACTGGCATGCGGCCCAAACATAACGCAATACAATACTGGCGCACTTTCGACATTCTGACAAGGATTGGCATTTGACTGCGTCAATTTTGGTCTCTGAGGCGAAGGAAAGCTGTCATTGATGACGCAATAATAATTTTACAATCAATTTTTCTGTCTTGGTTTTTGAATGCCTCAAAATAGCAGTTATACATGTTACAAAACCACGTAGCTGGTCGCATTTATTTCTTTGGTCTTTTTACGTCCTTATCATTTGTATGCCGATTGCCGAGAGAGGACCTACCAAGACCAACTATAAAATTATTACATTTTTTTAGTATTTACTGTCTCTTTATTTCCTAACCGGTGATTAACCTCTGAATTGTAAAACTTTAGCTGTTGTGTAAAATAATATTATCAGAATGGCACATTAACCCGCGAGTTGCTGGGGGGGGGGGCGTTAAACGCCCCCACTTTTTTCGCCGGGCCATAGCATAAAAACGGCGCGCCGCAGGCGCGCCAAATTTTGTGTACCTGTAGGGAATTGATTGAAGTTTATTGTGACAAAGTTTCAAAAAAATCAGTCGGAAAATTTTTGAGATATCGAGGTTTTAGTGACGTCATGATTTCTGAGTTTTCGACCAAAAACGGCATATGTTCAAAAAATCATATAAAATCACAGAATAGACATATAGACATGCCGTAAACGCCATTAGACTGCCAATACCATGGAGAATAAAATGGCTATCTTCGATTATTGATTATCGTTCGGCATTTTCCAAAATCTTGAACTGAATCTTGGCAATTTCTCGTGACTACTTCACGACCATGATACATGAATTTCTTAAATTGAACTTTTTTAGCCAAACACGTACACATATGATAAAATGAATGTCACCATCGTGTTCTACGCCCCAAATTACCCATAAAACATGTGTCACAGGCTGCGAATATCAGTTTTGATTTTCGGGGATATGTGTCTGCCCGGTTGACCTGACCTTGACCCTGACCTATGCTTGACTGACCCCTGCATGGAGCTGACACTCTTGTAGGCCTTATATGATGGATTGTGCACCGCTTTGACAGAGTTTATGACGAGAGGCGCCCATTGCGAAGTCCTGAAGTCCATGCTACTGAAAGCCCGATTTTAGGTGTTTGACCTGACCTTGACCTGACCTGTGACCTCAAAATTCAACTTTAAAGTACTCATCTGAAGCGTCTCGTCGCGTTCTTTCGTTTGCCGCCTCGTGCGTTTCGCTGCGCCTATTGGTTCTCGAGTTATCGGCTGGGGGCGTTTAACGCCCCCCCCCCCCCAGCAAACGGTGGGTGGCGAAATACCCCAGCAACTGCCGGGTTAATATGCATTATACAACGGTGTTTTCGCAACAAGTTCGCACTAACTACGGCTGCAATAATTTAGTCGCTGTAACATTCCTTGCAATCAGCTGTTGGTGACGCTTCTGACGCATGTTTCCAAAAATGCGTGGTTCATTGGTTAGTTGGTTTTTGCTGGGCTTTTGCATGATTTGTTTTATGTGTAGATCGACTGGATACGCATTATTCACCGTGTCACTATTTATTTTTAACTGGAAATCGCATATCTTTTTATATCAACATTCATTTTGATAACAGTATCATTCCAGAAGCCTAACATTGAGAGGAACCAGAGTGAAATTTTGATCCTCAGCCAACCAATGCTGAAGGGTAAGGTGAGAGAAAGATTTTACTGAATTCTTTTCAGAAAGGAATTTCAAATGTATTGATGCATTATTCGTTTTCCAGTATCCAGTGTGCACTTCCTGAGGACTTAGCAAGTTAGCATAGCAATTTCAAGTCCTTACTATTTGATTGGCTGTCTTTTTCTGCACAACAATGAAGCAAGTAAGGTTTATATAGCTCTAGCATTGACCCAGCTGTATTTTTTCCTTGCAAAGGCAGGTTTTTAAAATTGCGGGTTTTTTGCGGGTTCGGCTCAGCCAAAATCAGCTTGCGGGTAGTTGTGGTTGGGCAAGGGGTAGCTGCGGGGCGGGGCGGGTAATGAAATTGCAAATTTAGTGCATCTCTAGTTGGAATATTGACGCATGTTGGGCAAAGACACCATTCATTCGAGTCTCCCCAAGTCTCCCTATCTATAACGAGCGTGATGAATAAGCACCAACAGCCACATGACGCCATTAGAAATAGTAAAATGGAATATCGACTTTTATCGATGTTCTTGGAAGTACAAAATAATCCGGAAATCAAACATACATTACCACAAATTACACGAGTGATGTCTATATAAATCACCCTACACACGAGCTGTACCTAATTTGGTATCGGACCCGCTGTACGCTGCCGGTAGAGCCGTTTATGGCCAAACGGTTCGGCAAGGTCGGCGGTGAGCCGACTGTCGAGCCGTGCCCAGCCGGCCGGCCGGCCGCCACAGCTGAGGGCTCGTCCCGCGGCCAGCGGTAGTCCCGGGTGACGCATATGTCCGGCGACCAGCCAGGGCGTTATCACCCGTTATAGCGAGATACGCCAGCGTCGGAAAAATGCCACGCCCATCGGCGAGGCCTGGTGGAGTCGGGCCACAATACTTTTCAGCCGTGGGAACACCATCCTCATCGACCCGACAAGATAGGATCGTGACCTTCGACCACGGCAACCCTGCACTTCCGACCACCCATGTCTGTCCATACACGTCACAGTCCGCCCTGGGATGACGTCATAGCGCCCCACACCCCGCCAGCTGAGTGTATGCCCATATAAGCGCCAGGTGGGCAGTTGTTGGGCCGCCGGTGTCGTCACGCCTCGGTGTGTCGTCATAGGTCGGCGGAACGGGTCTCTGTCTGCCCAAGGTGGCCACTCGCCGGCCGGCCGACGGCGGCGGCGGCGGCGGCGGCGGCGCCCTCCCACTCGCCGCGAGCGCGCCCCGCCGCCGCCTCCCGACCGAGCGGGGATGCGTCATCCAGCGC